AACTTCACTATCATTCATTGATAAACTGTCAAACCCTTTAGACTACTTTTGTATCATATTTCTTTTTTATATCCCGCGATAAAGGAAGTAACCTGTTTCAGAGTAGAAAATGATGTAGTTTCTATAAAGTTATTGCTCAGTACGAGTTTTACGACCATAAAATGCATCTTTGCATGCACCCCCGGATGAATTTTATATGAATATCGAGTGAAATTGATATGTTTTATTCAATCCTTTAACGACACATTTAGTACATTAAAAGGGTGCATATACAAAACTATGAAAATGTATTATCTATTAGGTTGAATACTGTCTTTAGCTTACGCGAGAGGTACACATTTAAATAAAACACTTTAACGGTTTAAAACATGATATATTAGTTAAACTTTTGAAATCTTGGACACCGTTCGATTAATAAATACCTACATATTAACTAAATAGGTCTAAAAATTCGGGGATTCCGCGCACGCGCACGCGCGCCCCCCCGCTCTTCTAGATTAATAGATAGTCTTAACTGTCAACGCGGTCAGTGCGTGCGCAACCCTCTCGCGTTGATTACGTAACAACTTTCTTCCGAATTGCATACAAGCGATTGCGCATCCCACGGGCGTCTCGTCGTTTCGCTGTGTTTTTTTAAGTGTGTTAATTACAAACATGTCTTACAATTATACCAATGTACATTATGTGGAATGGTGCGAACATTTGCTTTGTGTGGTGATAATGTTGCCGAATCTGTGAGACGTTATCATGAACAATTTGGCATCTTAGTACCATGGAACACAATGCTGGGCGCTATGCAGCGCTTACGATACCCTGGCCAGTTCAGACCAGTCGCAGTAAACAGAGGCGTGGCTCACATCCCCGTTGACGTCCAGCAACAAATTTTGAATTACGTGGCTGATAACCCCGAGAGTAGTACAACGCAAGTAGGGAGATTATTTAACGTGAGTCAGTCTTACGTGTGGCGGACTTTAAGGAATGACCACCACAAGAGCTGCTTGAAAATGATAAAGCCCAAAGAGTCCAATTTAGCGAGTGGTTGCTTAATTAAGACAGAAATATTATTTTTACCGACGAATGCACTTTTACACGTCGTGGGCTCTTTAATTTTCACAACAGTCATCACTGGGCTCATGAAAACCCGCGCTTAGCTAGGCCTGACTCATTCCAACACCGTTTTTCTAAAAGGTGATTCGATAAATTAGTGTAAATAATGGTGATTAACATGTTCAAACACGCTGGAATAGTTTTTGTCTCAATAATGAACGCTAAACTTACATGCCGTTTAACCATTCTGACAGTCCAAAGCCTGTAAGTGTGATGGGAAATGTTATTGCCAAAAATGTCTTAATACCTTCAGTGAGCAGACGAAAGGTACATAAAAGTAGTGAATCGTGTAGTGTAGTAAGGTGCAGGACGGGGAGCGGAGAGCGAGGGTGCCAGTGACCACATAATGCTGGACAAACAATAACATGAAAAAATTTAATAACTTCGTGAGTTTTCATTTTTTTTAATTTTGATTTTTTATCCTGATAGAATGCGAATAAAGAAACGTTTGGCATGTTTCAGCTTTAGTAACAAAGAATAACCTTGTATAATTAGATTTGTATATATTTCTATCCTATATACTTAAATTACGATGACAATTTTGAAGGCTATATGCGAAATAAAACTTCTGTTCCTTTTTTATGTATGCTGACTGCTTTTTAAAAGACCCCACTTCTAGGACACCTTGTAAACGGTAAGCTTTAAGCTATGGTGTAATGTAATGCACGACCAGGCCTCAAACTACCGACTACCCTTAACTGTATTTATTTATCGTTACCATTTAACAAGGTGTCCCAGATGTGGGGTGTTTTATGAGACTGAGGCTGATTTAGTGAAAAAGTTTTTTTTTCGAATATCCAAAGCCAAAATAGGCCAACAGCGCATCTAATGTAGACGTTTTATGGCTGGGGTATTTCACCTCCCATCAAGTGTACCCATGCTTGTCTGTCTTCCTCTATCATTAGAAAAACATAATTCCTGAAACACTGCAACCAAGGAGGTGTTTTACCAGCAGTGGGACGTATTTCTTTTAAGTATAGAGCATATTAAAGTCCGAGTCATCTTATAAACTACACTTCAGAATTTAAATCAGAATCGCTTTCAATTTGTCTGAGATGGTATCAGTCAGTCTCAGACACATTTATAACTTTAAGATAATCTCACGAACACTGTCCTTTGTCGTCTGAGTTATTGTCGGGTAAACTGGATGTAATTAACCTTACAATATTGTTCTAGTTTAGTGGGAACGAATATATGCTATTTCTAACCCTCTGAAGACAATGGAAGACAGTTTAGGATACATTGGAATCTAAAGTACTTCTCAGACAATCCGGTAGCTTAGCGTTATTGTTTTAAATGTTTTGAGATAACCCTATTTAAAGTGTGAAAGCAATTTCTAAGTTTTGTTTTGCGTATTCTCTTTGAAAGTTTTCTTTTAAAGAATAACATTCAACTATAATTGTCGTAAAATGTATTTAACCAAACGTGCAATAAAAAATCTCTTGAACTATTCATTAAGCTATTCAGTTAAGAAGATATTTTTTGTTGTGTATTGTTTAGTTGATTATTACTATTGCAAAGTAAGAGGCTGTTTACACGTACTTACATCAACGTTAAGTGTTTTAAACATAATGTAATTATAAAATGTTAATCAAATTGCGAAAAAGTTGCCATCTGTTTTCTGATATTTAGACGTTAAGTGTTTTCTATGCCAAAGAAGTTAACTTTATACTTTCAAGAAATAAATCAATTTATAGGCTACTTTTAAAAGTTGTTATAAAACTGTACTTTGATGTAAAATGTTGACATTGTATAGAAGCTTTTAAGACTTACGTTAATAGCGCCCCCAGGCTAAATACGAAATGTACGACACGAAACAGTTTGAACGCTATTTTACTTTTATCTGAAAATTTTAACGACTGTTAGATCTAACAGTATATGCACAAAAAAGTAACATATTTGAAGTAACTGTATTTTTTTTTAATAATTAAAAATGTACACTTGTAATTAAACACATTTTTTTAGATTTCCATCACATTTTATTTACACAATATATTTATAAAACACTTACGCTTAAATAAATATCAAAATGATACCAGTCAACATCCATAAATACAGATAACATCAAGACATCGATATTAAATAATACAACTCATTGAGCTTATATATCACTTCCAATGACATAGAGTAAAAGCTTAATAGCTAGAAATTATTCTTGCGTAAGATGCGTAAGTTCTTAACACAATGTTTAATTAAATACTGTCTGTAGTTTACGCGAGTAATACACATTTAAATAAAACACTTTAACAGTTTAAAACGCGATATATATTAGTTAAACTTATTTGAAATTTATTTTAACGACTGCACGACGTTTCGGATACTTTGCAGCAGCCATGGTCACGGGGAGACTAATCATAGATAAGTTTAAAGAATGTCGCGTTCGAAATTGTTAAAATGTTTTATTTTAACAATGTTTAATTGCTTAAAAAGTTTTACATGACATTAAGATTCAAATACCCTTCCTTCGGTCGTAAAGCTAGTGCATACAATATCATTTTTATTAAGAAATACTTACTATCGTGAGAAAAGCGACTTTAAAATACAAAGGAACAAATTGTTTTGGAATGGAGACTATCTGATTATCTAACACGAAGGTAAGTAACAAGGTTGTATTTGCGGGATACAATTACTTAACAGATAGAAAGATAGAAAAGGTATTGTTTTGCAGTAAGTCTACTGCAAAACACTGTCAACTAGTCAGTTGAGATGAAAGTAATAATAACAAATTCTAATAATTAAATACAACGACTAAAGATGAAAGGTTATAAACATCGACCTTACATATAACACTTCTTGTATAAGTTTAGTTAATAATAGATTTTCTTTTGGAATAGTTTTAGACAAGAATTAAAGGTACAGAATTAACACCCAACCTGATAGACTAGCAAAACATAGTACATATTCCCCGAATAGCATAGGTCATTATGAATTATGTTAACTGAAAATTGTTGATTCTGTTCGACGAAAATATTAAAGGTACTAACTACGTATTTTAAATGGACCATTTCTGAAATGTCTGCTTTAAAATACTAGACTTTATTTTCTTATAAATAAATAACATTTTGCTGTGTAAATCACTTTGATTTGGGAACATTGGTAGTTGAAACAGTTTACTTACACAATATTAAAAATAATATTATTTAATCTGACTTCTATAAACATGCCTGAAGTCATCAAACAAACATTCGTATATTAATAGTTAAAACGAATCCTCCGTGCCGTTGATACGTGATACGTCTATAAAATAATTTAAAAAGTCTGTACATTTATAATGAATTATTGAATTACAAAAATTTAAATAAAATACAGCGAAGTTGAATATAAACCGCACGTCAACCCTATTCAATTTTATAAAAATACTTTAATACTATTAAATTGTATAACATCGAAAATACGAGACAATATTTCTCACGACAAAAACCAAAATTATTTACACCTCGACACTAGATGACGTTTAGACAAAGAAGGCAGTTACTGTTTACGATTTATTCGATTTTGTCAGTGAAATAGATGAGAACCTATCTACTTGTTATATATTTGAACTTACGCTAAACGTTAGAGATGAAAGAATTTCAACCAATGTACGGATAATAAAATAACAATTACTTTCATTAAACAAAGACAACCTTGATCTTAATAAAATAAATAAATGGAATTTATCAAATATATACGCATTGGTTCTTAAAAAGGCCAACACCCAAGATCCCATTTCCTCTGACAATACAATTCAAATATAGAAATCATCAATCAAAAGAACAATGTTGTCTCATAACAGATATAATCTCAGAACTGTTTATTCTATTCTATGCTAGCTGTTTCTATAACGGAGAAAAGCGCGTCAGAACCTCGAGTACCCCACCGCCGATCAGCGGCCGCGCTTAGAGGAGGTACTCTCATTGTTCCGGCTTATCAAACGAAGTGTTCGGCGTACTTTCCACCTTTTTTAGCACTATCTTAAACGCAAATGTATGTTTGGGAGACACTGATGCTGGTCGCGGTGTATCTGGCGACCGTGGGGGGCGGTCTGGGGGCATTTCTGATCGCGTGCGGGAACGTCGCGGTGGATTTATGAGAGGAGCTGTAAGCGGTTCTTTCAATCGTTGTGGTGATAAGCGATTTGGGGATAAGTGGCCTGGCGATAGATCTGGAACAGCTGGCGGTAGCATGAGGGGAGGTAGATTAGCACAAGGAGATCCACGGGAACCGCGGCGCTCTTTCAAGCCCATCGGGGGAGGAGAAGCTGGCGGTTCATCTTCAGCGGCCGCAACTACTACTACTGGTTCTGTCCGTAACAATGGCGCTCTTGGTTCTGTTACGTCTGACGTTATTGATCTTCGGAAGTAATTTAGCCCATTTTCTATTTCCGCTAGCGCACGACGCACGAAAGGAAAACTCTCAGAGATTTCAGACGTTGATTTCCGTACGGGAAATTCAGTTTCACTATCGCGCTTTCTTGGTTTGCATCGCTCGAATGTTGGATCTCCTGAGGCCGCGACAGTCTCTGATACTTGTCTTGTGAGAGCTGCATGCTTAATGGAATCTGATTTGGATCGCGGTTCCCTTGTTTTGGGGGTTGGAGAGCGCCTTTCGCCGAACTTCTTGCTGGCAGCGCGCTTGATGGAAGAAAACAAGCCAAGTTTTTCTGGTTTCTCTTGGTGAGTGGAAGTGGAAGGTCCGGAGTTGGGTTCGGGCGCGGGACGGGGGACGTTCCCCTCGCGTTAGTTGTGCCGCGAGTCAGACGACGGCACGTCGCTGGAGCCAGTCGAGGAGAGGGTTGTGTTGGAGCCGTAGGGGTCAAGGGAGGACTGTACAGACATGGAGCGGCCGGCGCGCCTGACACGCGCAGGAGATAGCTTCCCGGGATCTACGCTGGCCGGGTCTGCCTGCAACATTAGTGTTTTCAACATACTACGATACAACTGTTTACCTAAAGGACCCCTCTGTCACCGTTTTTCTTGAACACTGTGACAAAATTCTCAAGAGCATATAACCAAATTACGACGACCATATCACCATTATTCAATAAACTAACGCTAAACTAAAATATGACTCAAACCTAAAATCGAATTCATTGTAATTTATAATAGAAATTGTAAATTTATTTATATTTGAAATATAAATACGTTTTAACATGTACTTGAAATATACGCACCTGATAAGCCAAAGCGTTCATGATGATGGAGTAAGGAACCAAGCCAAGAGGATGTACCTCCCTCATCAGAACATTAGCAGGAATCTTATGGAACTGGATGTACTCCAAGAAATTACCAATCACATCTTTCAGCACCATGTTCGGGTTTGTGTCGAAATATTTCTTACTCCACATGAGAGCAGCCTGGAATATCGATAGAATCATTGCAAAAAGGCTGATATCGAGATTTGATTTTAATTTAAATGTCTACGTTTTAATTATATTCAAAATAATAGTTGTAAAAATTGTACTCACTTGAAACTTGGTAAATTCATCAGCTTTCAGTTCATCCCTAGCTAGTATCAGTCGCACGACGTGTTGAGGCAAAAGAGTGAAGGAACCCAAATTAAGAACTTCGTTCCCATGTTCATCTACGAATTCTAGAACCTGAAATACAGAACAGAAATATCATTTTAGACTTATGAATATATAATTAACCTGCTGTGTTCCCCTTTTTTAAATAATTTTCATTATATATTATTTTTTTCCATTTCTAGAATTTTCAGACTACCCTTTTTACTAAGTGGAAATGATCAGGTTTTCTTTGTTAATATAGATAAAGTTTTAGTACTACTTTTAACAAACCAACAGCAAAAGTCAACTGAAAAACATATCAAATGTATATATTTTATAGAACTTAACATTTTGTACTATAATCAATTGAGAACATTAGTATACATGAGTATGTGTACCTTTTGCACCAAAGACTTGGTACATTTATACTGAATGTATCTTTCAGCAGACGCCAGTAGAGCGCATACAGTATCTACAGTGATGCAGCACTGGACAAAACCTGCGCATGCGCGGCGTAGCTCATCCAGTCCGTAATAATCCGCTGCGTTCATTACACCTATAAAGATTAAATTTATAAAGATTAAAGTGTTAATTATTATTAAATAGCACTGCGTAATCATAACATGACTGAAATATTGTTATTTCTTAAATTTATCTTTCCAATTTGCGTCAGCTACATTTACTTAAAATTTCATTTAAATTTGTTGTTTCGGACAGTCTCCCCGTGACCACAACTGCTGTAAAGTGTCAGAAACGTTGGACTGAAGTTAAAAGTTTAACTAATATGTATCGCGTTTTACACCGTTAAAGTGGGTTTTTTTAAGAGTTCAAAATAATATTTCTTTCTCATTATATGTTAGGACCATTTTTATATAACGTTACGATGTTATACAGTAACGTTTATTTTAACATCGTAACTTAATTAGCTTCTTTTTTCTCTATTCCTGTAACCCTAGACAAAAGACCACCGCGATGCCTTGAAATAAAGATCAAAGCGCTTTTATTTTTAAATTAACTACAGCTGTAAGAAAAACTCAATAAAAAGCAATAAAGAACTCCTAGGAACATAATTAAGTTAGCGACGGAGCGGTTACCTGAAAGTGCATAAGGAAATATAACCTAACTTAATTCTGACTCTCGGAAGTAATGCAATTAGGACTTGCTCTCATTGATGGTTATGTTCGAGGCATAAAATAGCGCTACATGAAGTAAAAGTAAAAAGCTTTGCGACACGGGAAGGACTTATACAGCGTTCCGTGCTCTAAACAATTGAGATACCGTGTGAATTGTGTAACAACTACCCGTGTCGAAAAATGTTTCCAATCTTAATAATTTTTTACACATAAAATCTGGTAATTTGAACTAGTAATTTATTGAATTCAAACATAAGAACATAGACACTTAGAATTATATTTACAAAATAAAACATGTTTGTGCAAAGGCGGCCCGTATCGTCTATGGCGATTTCTTCCAGGCAAGCTTTGCAAGTAGAAATAAACAAAAGAAAATTACAGTAAAGAAGTTAATGTCGGGAAGGTGTCGATGTGCGGAAGCATTAGAAGGTCTAAGACTGGATAAAGAAGACATTTGATTTTAAACAACTTTGCAATGTGTTATAATTCCTATTATTATACAAAGAGAATAGTTAAATAAATTGATCTGTCCCATTCCCCACGCTGTGACAACAGGACTTCGCATACTAATTTAATGTACACATTTAATTAATGACCTATAAATACTTCTCAAGCATATCTAAACTCCTTTAAAATACAGAAAACGTGCTACAAAACTTTTCTCGCACAAAATCTTAATCAAAAAGTTCCTGAATATTTTATCGCGAGACAAGATGAGTAAAAGGAGAAAAATTCAATTTCGACGCTGATCGAACCAATTTCCTTCGCTAATCTATTTATAGGTTGGAACTCGGAATTATATCTTATAATTCAATACGTAGTGGTGCACTAAGTTAGCGAGTTGGCGTTTTAATTCAATTAAAAAGCGACTAAGTACGTAAGATTCAATTGAAATACTGTCTATAGTTTACGCGAGTAGTACACATTTAAATAAAACACTTTAACGGTTTAAAACGCGATAAATTAGTTAAACTTATTTGAAAATGATTTTTAACTTCGGCCCGTTACCACGTGACAACGGCTGCTGCAAAGCATCCGAAACGTCGGGCCGAAGTTAAAAATCATTTTCAAATAAGTTTAACTAATATATCGCGTTTTAAACCGTTAAAGTGTTTTATTTAAATGAAATACTGTCTGTAGTTTACGCGAGTAGTACACATTGAAATAAAACACTAACGGTTTGAACAAATAAGTTTAACTAATATTTATCGCGTTTTAAACCGTTAAAGTGTTTTATTAGAAAGATTCAATTTGTCTTTGGTTTCGTAAATAGGGAAAATACATGTTTTTTATTACCAATAAAAACCCGTATTTCAATGGCACGGCGCAAATCTACCCTATCTGACTTAAACTATTTATTGTATTTTCCCAGAAATTGAACCTAGTAACTACGGTCCGGTCCATAAACTATTTACTATCCCCATTTTTGGTTTTTATGCAACTTTAACTAACACTATACAATAGTTAGTAAAGAAAAAATTGTAAATAAGCATAATACATTTTTAAATAAACTTAACGGTTTAAAACGCGATACATATTAGTTAAACTTGTGTTTTATTTAAATGTGAACTACATACACTATATTTTAATACAAAGTTATAATTGCTAAATATCTAAGATTTTTTTATTTAGTTTTACATTATATGTACTATATATTACTATTTAGCACTATTATAAAAGATCCTACATCTCATTACTTATTTTGTCAATTACGTATTAATTTTGAAACGAATTAAGCTTTAACACAACAATTCTAACACACTCAAGCACACGCCGATCTCGAAAACTTCATAACAAATTAATTAAAATGATGTTCGAGAATTTTAATTAATTCTGATTATATCTCGATAATAACTCACTTGAAACTCGATATCAAAAAGGAATATATTAAAATTGTGTATTGTTAATCTTTTATGTTCTTAGTCACAATAAATATGTGTTTAAACACTGTAGTTTACGCGAGTTATACAAATTTAAATAAAACATTTTAAAAGTTTAAAACGCGATACATATTAATTAAACTTATTTGACAATTAGTTTCGGAAGCTACCAAAACGCTGTAGTTAAAATAATTTTCAAATAAGTTAAAAAAAAACACTTATCGCATTTTAAACCGTTAAAGTGTTTTTTTTTAATGTATATGGGAATTCGGAGTAAGCATAAAACAAACACGAATGAATAGTCGATTATAACTTGATAATAATTATGGCTTGCAGGACTTCCGGCATCCACAGCGTTCCCTGCTGTTGCTCTATCAAATTGAGCTACGGAGTCCTAAAAGACGTGATGAATTTTATAAAACTCTTTGCGAGTTTTACCGATAGGAATACTTTTCAATTTTAATTTTTATTCACGTCCGATGTCCGAGTATTAAATACGTTCGACTGACTTATGTAAATTTATTGAAATAGCTTTGCTGCGTCGCTTTTATATAAATATTTTATTTGTATCTAGTGATTTGATTGGATATCCGGCTAACCTGAAAATTGAAAATCATTATTTCGTAGGTTTAATACGCAATTTATACCTTACCAGCTACGCCAGCGACTTCATCCGCGTAAAATAGTCATTTTGGGCCTTAAAAATTGATTTTGCAAATGGAGGAGGTTTTATCTTTATAAATTTAAGTCAATCTTAAATGATAGACACATATTGTCGCGGACAGATTTTAGATAATTTAAACATTCATTAATACATATTTTTTATGTTTTTTCAACTGTTTTCCCAGAGCACGCAACAGGAACGCTAAAAGATGTATAATTTTTCCCGTTTTTTTTTTCACATACCCTACTGTTTCTTCGCTCCTATCAGTTGCGGCGTGATATTTTACAGCTTTCCTCGACAAAGTTCTAACCAACACAAAAATAATTTTTCAATTCGATTCAGTATTTTCTGAGATAAGCGCGTTCAAGCAAACAAATAAATAGACAAACATACATACACAAATCAGCTTTTTAATATTAGCATAGTTTTTTTAACTCGGGTTTCTCGGGAAATATTACTACGGATGCTGTAAATCGTGGGGTTGAAAATAACAATACATTACCCATTATACTTCGCGTTTTAAACCGTGAAAACAATGTATTAATAGCTGTATTATGCGAGAGGTTATTTCGAAACACATTCGTTACAAGCTTTATGGATCGAGGCAGTAACATTTCGCATAATTTTCGTATTAAGTTATAAAATCTTAACATCGCAATGAATGTTTATCATCTGTGAGATAAACTTCGGATGAAACGAGCAACGAACGCCATTAACTTTTCCTTCATTCTTCTAGATAGATGTAATGATCAATAAAATGTCCCGCCATTTGTCTTCTCTTAAAAAGGAAATTGAATTTCTTAGATATTTTATTCAGACTAGCGAAATTTATACGTTTTTCGAAAATATATTTTTATCCACTATTCGAAAGAGTTTCAAAAATATGTACATATTTTCTAGACGCCTTTTTCATCTGTGAACGGTGGTTCGCAACGTGGGAAATATTTCTACCCCTTTCACGACCCCTGCGTGCTTTAACATAAATAAGGGCATAACTTCAAACCTTTTACCAAAGTTTACATTACGTATACGTTGACAACGAGAACGAACATGTTTATTCAAGTAAATTGATACATAACGTTGGGATAAACTTCATTTTCAATACAACTCATGGGTAAGTTGTATTAAATGTCAATAACTTCGATTCATAATGTGGATTCGGGTTTCTTGTATGAGGCAAATTGATTCTCAGAGTATTACGTATTTGGGTGCAGATGTTCTAAATAGCGATCATATATTGGTTTCTGTTGAATTCTATATAATATCAAATGACAACGTTTAATAGAAACGTAAACTGTATAATTTAAAAATCGAAAATAAATTGAAAAAGTTTTCGACTCGGGCAGGACTTGAACCGGCATCGTCAGCTTTCCGTGCTGTTGCTCTACCAATTGACTCGGTAGCTCAATTTATTTTCGATTTTTAAATTATATAGTGCCTTCATGTGCAATAACATGTGAAAAATATTAATGTTTTCAAACGTAAACTGTTTTATTTAAACCTCCCGATCAACGTTCTCTGTAGCGTAGAACTTTGTTTGTAATTGAGATTATTAAGAAAACAAAAAGAAATCCATTAAATAAAATTAATTATGTTTTATTATGTAACACGAAAACTTTTATTGGACTTTGTTAAGATAATAAAAAGTTAACATTTCTCAAATTCCCTCCGTTCTTTTGATATTTTGACATATTTTTTATTTTGATGTTTAATGAATGAATCGTTCGTATAAATCATAATAATATTATTTCAATAGCTTTTCCTCTTTGAATTTGTAATTGATACAACTATCACGTATATGGGAATACAAATTTTATATTATAATCTTAAGGTAAAAAACATGTATAAATGTAACTCACCAAGCAATGTCCTCGGTTGTAGAGTGACGCAGCCGGTGTGAATGTATTCAATCAATTGCCGAAACACATCTGGTTCGAACTCTTCAATAATCAGGGTTTGGTGCTGTTGCGAAGAAGGCTGTAGAAAGATTATAAAAAAGTACTGGCAGTCAACACGTTTATAACCTGTGCGTGTATATAAAGTCTGTGATAAAAGCATCGTAAAGAAGAAATTAAAAAAAAAACAATGGCAGCTGTTAGTAATAATAATAATAGTAGTTAAGATTTTGCGATTTACTGAAGCAGAGAAGTGCGTTCAACTGCTTAAAGTACGGCGTTCGAAAGCGAAAAATATAGCTGTGTGTTTCAACTGAAACATTAATTACTTGACGATTCAAAATAAAAGTGAGTATCATGCATAGTTTAGCTAAACTTCGAAGACTAGCGAATAACATGAAAATTTTCGCAAATCAACCCAAAGAGTTCGCAGTCGAGAATACTAATAATGAAATCAAATTTTGAATTGCTTCTCATTTCTTGTTATGAATTACGTATAATGTATTTTAAATTATTGTTTAACTCCGACGAAACTCGAACACCAAACGACAGCTACTCAGTCAAACAGATATTCCGTTCTTTTGTTGTAGGGAATTGAGCTTCAGTGTCAACTACCTTTGTTTGCTACTGACTATTATAATAGAAATTTTATTAACTCATCGTTAAAACATATTCTTTATATTTTGGGGATACGACATTTCGACTGCAATGCCTTTGCGTTGTTTTATGCTCAAATGACATTAAATTGCTATAATCACCTAACTACAAACGTGTGTAACATGAAAAACTGTACAAAACACCGAAAATCGATTGAAATTCACCTAAAACATCGTCAATTTTGTTTTTACCTCTTGTATTGGTGCCAATTGTTGCGCGAAACTTGATCTCTGTGGTAACATATACATTTATGAACGATATATAATTGTATACATCTACTGTAAATAATATTAGGCTAGAAAAAAAATAGCTTTTGTATGAACATACTAACTGAAAACAGATGTATGAATGCTTTACCAGTCAATGCTTCACAGAGTGGTGTTTTAGTGAGTGAGACCTAATAAGTATCGCAAAGTTATCTGTTTTTTACGCCACTATTAAACAATATTAACGGTCTAAAACAATATAACCCATAAAGCATGTTTAATAACTAAATCGCGTTTTATACCGTTAAAGTCGCTTCATTTTAACGATTCTACTGATTACTATTTAATAATTATATCTAGGATGTTAAATGTATCATATTTAAACAAGCAGTGAGCCGAAATTTATTTAATTGGGCAGCAATTGATTATACGGTTTGGATAGTATTCAAATACAATAAACCTATGGAATATAGGGGTCGCAGGCTTTTATCAATAGATTTACCTGTTGAGCAGCATTCTGGAGGTTTAGCAGGGGCTCAGATGACCTCTTTAAGAAGAGTCGTAACTTGTTCTCGCGTGGCGCAGACTCTTTCTTTCGTTGGGGACTCGGTGCTTGGTAGAGCATTTTTTGGAATACTCTGTTTTAAAATTTATACTCGTTGTTAGTACAATGATACAATATTGCCGTGGGCTTCACCCACGTTCATCCAGTTAAAGTATTCAATCAAAAGTGAATTTAACAAATAAAAATAGTTACGAAATTGTACCTACTTTCAGGTGCAATAAAAGATGAGTTCTGTCCTTCGTACATCTATTTTATTATTGATTTTTCACACTTTTGTGTTTTTTTTAAATTTTTATATGTAGAATAAATTGTTTTATTTGATTTGAAGAGGTTAGTTTAATTCATATCCAAATGACGATTTACGATTAATAAACAAATGAGATCACGATCACAACGTTGACAGCCAACATTCCGAATTATAAATTTATTATGCACAATGTAAATCTTAAAGATTTGGATATGTATGTACATATACGATAAGCCAGTCTTACCAATCTTAAGAGCATCATTTTCACTTGATTTAAATTGGATAAAAGCAAATCAAAGTAATCCCCGTCCGTATTTAATCCTTTGAAGATGTTATCAAAGCCGCATATATAAGAGAAGTGGGTACTTCGAAAGAATCGTATGTTATCGTGAAAGCTTTTGAGTGTGACGTGAAATACTTGAAAGTGTGGCTTAAAAGTTTTCCCTTGTTACGATAAAATGTATGGAATTTTTTCATTCAAGTTTTTGATGGAAGACCGTCAGCATCTAAGCTTAATCTAATCAAGATGCGATCTAGCTATTTCGACTTTGACATATGGAAATCCACAGACTGAAACTCATTTAATTCATTTTGTGAGTTTCGGACCTCATCTAGGATATATATCTTCAGATATGAATTAAATTTTATTTGGTTGGATGAACTCGTTGGTCAAATGGTAATGTATGGCTTATAATCATGTTCTCGATCCCCACGGATTCCAATACGCTTTTACAAAAATTTTCAATTTTTCCTGAAACATTTTGGAATTCGTTTGAACAACTGGTTATTAAAAGGGTGGAAGGAATATCGAATCAATCAATCGATATCAGAAAAAGCTGTGAAGTTTAATCGAGTTTCGGTCAATCTGTGGATTTCCGAATATCCAAAGCTAAAATAGATTAACAGCGCATCTTGCTTAGATGTTATATGGCTGGGGTATGTCACTTTCGATTAAGTGAAACTTACGTAAAGAAGGTTTAAAATAGTTTTCAAGATATTAAAATAAATAACTTAAATAGAAAAAGTCTACATCGATATGATTGGGATCTAAATATACCTGCTTCTGGCAGCCAGCACAGCCTTGACAGCGCAGACTGGCTCTCTAGTGTCGCCGACGAGGAACGTGACGTCACACAGTTCAGGCATTGACGCCAAGAACTTCATGTCCTCTGCTAGGCCGCTCTTGTTCTCGAATGTGCTGAGGTCTGGCTCCGCCTCCATGGCTGCTAACGCTCCGCTTCTCATTGATGCCTAGTACATGATCATCAGTAATAATTTTCTACGAAGAACTTTGATATCTTTTAGTAACGACTAAATACAATTTTTACCTGAAATTACTAGCCGACCTGGCTATAGTTCGTTTAGCCAAATGAAGTATTTCCACAAAAAATGAAATGTTTTTTGTCGGTTAATCTAGGATAGATAAGGATAGACATATACTATCGTAGCAATTTTATTTTTGAATATTTAAAGAAGAATTATTCTTTGCAGCGCACGTAACTAAAGCACTCAAAAGTAAAGGTTTCCCCATTTTTTGTTTTTTTTTACGTTTTCCTTTGTTGCGTCACTACTATTGATCGGAGCGTGATGTTGTGTGAAAAAAGAAACAAACTCTTCAGCTTTATAATGTCAGTATAGATAAGAGATAAGTAGATTCTTAACTCCGAATGCATAATGTGAAAATTCTACCCCGCGAGTTTATACACTATTTTGCGTTTTTGAACACCAGTTAAAATATTAATATATAGGACTATATACGGAGTTATCATGTGTCAAAGGACAACAATAAGTACCTACAGTTTTTTAAACCTTTTTTGAGAAGTAATTAATATTTTAATTACAAATAACGTTTCTGCATTTGAAAAGCTTAAGCAATGAGGGTTTGACATTGGATTCTAATGGAAATTCAAATTTAATTAACGGCCTTTTATAAGGTGAAGAAACTTATTTAGAAATCAGTTTTGTTCGTATATTGGAGTGTAAAATTTCACTATAAGTTTTAATTGTTAGTCTTCATTAAAATATGCATTATAATTTAACATATTAATAACTAGAAAGGCTTTGTATCGATTGGAGAATTTGTTGACGCGTGTAATAAAAACATTGTATAAGTATGTTATTGTTTATCACAATACAAAATATTATAACGTTAATTTTGAAAATCTAGAAACGTCTGCATCCAATCCTTTCGTGGCAACCATTGGAAACATTATCACGCAGAAAGTGGGAAACGGAAATGAAAAAGGAAATTGTGAAAAGACAGATTAAAGGGGTAAAAGTTCTTTACCATATTTTTCGAAACCACTTACTACTAAAGACTAAATGACTTGTATATTTTTACATGTATGTTACGCTTTGTTAAAATGTATGTTACACTAATAATATTATGGTGACTATTTGGTTATTTTCAAACAATTTTAATGTTTACTTAAAAATATTTAATTTTATAACTAGTACATTAAAAATTAAATTTAAAACGATTTCGAAATAATTATTTAAATAGTAAATAAATTTCAATTTAATAAATAAACTGACTTACTTCATCTAAGCTATAGTGTCTTGTTTTCATTAAATCCATGTTTAACTCAGTAATTTTATGACAATTGACGTCTTAACTACACGACAGCGGAGCACAGACTGACATCAGAGAAAAACGAAACGGACGCGCTAAACAGAATCACGAAATAGGAAAAATTCGCTTCAGAGAGTTATTGCTTAGTGGAGTGAAAAGTGCCAATTGTTACTGTAGTAGAGTTATATTGAAGCCTTTTACCTTATTACAGTTAAATTTCATTGCCACGGTAGTATTTTAATTAGGTACTATCAATTCTTAGTACAATCATAAGTAAACCTCTGAAGTGTTTAATTGAAAAAATGATTAAATTAAAACACACAAACGCCAAATACTTATTTTTAGTACTTAACTACAGTCTGATGTTTCGGACGTTTTGCATAACAGCGGTTTTGAAGCGACCGTTAAAAGTGATTTATTTAAATGTGTAATACACGCGTAAATAAAAGATATTACTTAAAAATAAGGTTGGATTACTTGGATTGTCAAAGCAATGGACGGAACTCGAATCCCCAGATTCTTATTCTCATACAAACAGAGCTAGTAGGTCGAACATCCATTTAGCCATTTCTTTTTATTTACATTAAAAGATGTTTAGTAAATATTAAACTATAAATGCACAAATAGTCATAAATTATCTTATAGCATCTGTTAAAAGTGTTATTTTTCATAATACGAGTGAAATATGTAAGGCTTAACGCAAAAAAAGTGGCCACATATTAATTTGAAGAAATTAAGTGCGTATAGGTATCGCTTGGTTTATATACATAATAGTAAATACAATTATTTATAGATAGCATAAGCAAGCTATTACTACCTTATATTTGAATTTAATGGCATCATTTTTTATTTGAAACTGATTTAAATATTGTCTGTACTTACGCGATACACTTTTGAATAAAACACTTTTAACGGATTAAGACGTGAAATATATTGTTTGCATCAGCATATTATAGCAGCAGTTAACTAATATATCTCGCGTATTAAACCGGTAAAAGTATTTTATATAATAATTTGAGGATTTGTTAAAATACGAAAAGTAAATTAAATTTTTTATGATTATAAGTAAGATACTCAAAAATGTTCACTATTCAAATATTGTGAGCTACTAAATTACATTCATTTTATTACAGATCTTCAAATTTTGATGACGATTAGAATTCTTTAAAGGCTCTCTTCGCTGAGTCGGTTTGCTCTTCGGTGTTGTTGAAGTGAGATTGAGGCAGATTAAACTTCAATCATTATTTATATATTATACTAGCTGTGCCAGCGACTTCGTCCGCTAAGAATATTTATTTTGGGTATCCAAATTCGTTTTTGCAAACTCGAAAAGAAGAAGTCTTTATAAACTTAAGCTATTGACCCACGACGTCGGTCGCGTCCTTTCCCCGTCGTCCTTGCAAGGTAATCTTAAAATCGCGTCGCGGACTTTTTTTTAGATCATTTAAAGAAAAATCTTTCTCTTATACATATATTTTTTGGGTATCTTAAACTTTTTTTGCAGCGTACGCCTCGAAAGCCTATAACTTTCCTCGATAAATATTCTAACCAATACAAAAAGATTTTTTTATATTCGAACTCGTAGTTCCTGAGAATAGCGCGTTCAAATAGCGCGTTCGTAAATTAAAGTTACTCTAGCACTTCTATTTATAAATAAAATTAACGTACATTATTATTTTTACATTATTATTATTTTATATCTACAATACCTCGTGTTTAACGATATTTTTTTCAAAATTAGATTTTTTGTCCCCTCTGTGTTTACAATTACAATACGAGAGCCCGTAGTTGCTACGCGCCTCTACATTGCCACGTAGAGCCACGAACGTTATTCTATAGTACCGTAGTATCTACTACTAGCATAGCATACGCGTATCATTAAAATTGTATTGTTTTTTTTTTTATAATAGAGGAGGGATGATAAGCATCACTTGATTCATGGGTTATGTTGATGCTGGTTCAAATGGATTGAAATCTGATTCCGTACCACCCATTCAATATCCAGATTTCCAGATAAAGTCCAACATAATTCATAAAATTAATTGATTTGATCTATGTTTTATGCGGCGGGGTAGCGAACACACGATTCGTTAATTATAGCCATACTTGCTATTATTAGACCGTCCAACATATTTTAACTAATGTAACTCATTGGAAGTGCAAGAATAGTCTTTAGTATTAATATTATTCCGTTATACTGCTCCATTGTAAGATTTTCGATGACTACGAGGTGAGCTGATGTCTTAATAACCAGTGTAAACTTGAGTCCGTAGTAAGTAATATCGGGTCGTGGGTTCGATACACACCGGGTCCAAAATTTTTCTAATATATTCATTTAATATAATTATTCTAAAATATGTTGGTCTTCGTCTGAAAATCTGGATATTAGAGGGGTGTAGGGAATATCGAAATTCCATCCGAGTCACGAATCATCATCCACAGACGAAAATGGCGTGAAGTTTAATCATGTTTTTTATCGCATCTTGTTTACTTCGCCTAATATCAAGCGAATCCCATGCTTGTCTGTCTACATCTATCCCAAAAAAGATATGATTTGTAGCTATAAGGAACTTGTATTCTATGAACAAAAACAGTCCTATTAATTTATTACAACTGTCGTACTTTTTAGCTAAGACAAACAAGGACATGGGTGGTGTAAAAATTGCGATGGGTAGATCTCACGCCATTATTATTCTCTTCGTGTGCGTATATAGGACGAGAGTAGCGACCCGAAAACACAATATTCAATAAGCCAATATCGATTTTATGCAAACACACGACATATTGTACTTACATGTATTAGCGGTTGCTATAATTATAATCTATGTATGATTAATATTTATTTTTGTCGTTTATCAACTATTATGGTAGCTTTTGGAAAATTTACTTTTTAAATTTCGAAAATAGAATTTATTAACTGACCAGTTGGCGTAATGTGTATATATTATTGCAACTGGCCAGTAAACTTTATTTTTTTTTAAGTTAAGAGCGGTTTACTAACTGGCCGATAACCAAAAAAATAACAGCGTAAAAGAGTATTTACTGATACTTCGTCTGGGAGTGACCGCCCACGCAACGTCTGGGGGCTCGCCTACATGCAATGCCCGCAAATATAATAACAACTATAAGTAAACAAAAAACCTACCTGTTGATAGAAGCCAAGTGAAACTCCTTAGTGAATTTTATGTATCTCAACCACAGGCAAGACACTAACTACTCAGTCACTTGCAATCAATACATAGTCTATTAAAATTTCCAAGAATGTACACTGTATTATGAAAATTTATAGCAGTCACTACTCAGTATTAAAATGATTGAAGTTTTAAATCCATAATATTGAAGCTTGACAAGTTCTTTAAGAAAAAACTATTCGTTGTATACAACGAGCAAGTGTGATTTACGCATGCGTTGCTCGTTCTGCGCATGCGTTAGGCTATCATCAATATGATAAAGATGAAAGGAGGTCGAAGTAACCGGTTCAATGGATGAAGGTGAAATTTATGAATGATTGCATCCGATTCACTGTTTTGCCATCAATACTTGATTGTCATATATATGTTTAAATTTATATTATCTACTTGAATAATTATATTCTCTGCTCCCGCGAGTAGGACACATTAAAGTAAAACATTAATAACGGTATAAAACGCGAATTATATTATTTCACTTCTTTTTACTGCATTTTAACTACGGCCTAACATTTGACCACTGCTACTGGAAAGCATTCGAAAAGTGTCTTTTTTAATTGTATTTTATCTTATTACTTGAGTTGATATATGATAAAATATTGTACTGTTTCGACGTCCTTCCACGTGTTATAATAAATATATATATAATAATATTATAATAATGCACTATATATTAGTATTATTTTTAATGTTCTTTGTTCTTGGTTATTTGGTATTTGGAAATGTAGATAGTGTAAAAGAAGAATAATTAGGTTTTCAAATTTAAAAATAGATTGTAATATAGAGACATCTGTCCAAAACATTTTAAACTTTGCGAAAGCTTCTTCTAGAACACATTGCCTAGCAGTAAGAGTTGATTTATATATGAAAGGATGGCGCTAAAATTAACAATTATTAATATTCTAATATTAAGAAGCTTTAGTAAAATTAAATACTTTAAAATGTTTAGTTTGTATTGAAAATGTTTAGTTAGTAAGTTGTACTACTTAATATTATCAACCAATAATATGTCTTCACAATTAAGTTTATTTTAAGAGACACACACTCTACTACGAAACACATTCAATACAAATTTTATAATCTGTAGAAAGATTGTATCTATGTTCAAAACTCGCATAAGAGATGGCGCTCAAATCAGTTGTCAACTTTATTGTTTAATTTTTATAGTTACATCATATTTGAATAATAAATTAGTTTACTATTGCCACTAGATACTGCTTAATATTAAAAATATCTTTACTTTTTAAATACTTTGCCCATACATACATACATCATTAGATAAAACTGGCATAATCTTCATTTTAATACCATCCCAGACTTACAAGGGTACACGTAAGCCATTAATTAGAGGCATCAGTGCGGAATCCTATGCGATTAGTGGTGTAATGGGGAGTAAGACGTTGATGTACGAACGTGTATGTAGGGCTTAGACAAGTATTTTAATGGAATAGCATACAAGTTTCTAGGACATCCATGTACAGGCTGCCGTCAAACTTATCACATTAATTTTAACTGTGCGTACTAATTATATCAAAACTGTGTCCAAAAACAAAGTTATTTTTTCATACAAGTAAATAGCGCGTCGTTGAATTTTAACACACCCTTTATGTTTGAAAATGACAACACTCATTTCTCTATTATCAATCAATTGTTGATTAGCAAAAGAGTTATTGTGCCAAAACTACTTAACCGATAAAAAAATACTACCAAATTTAAATAAAACACTTTAACGGTTTAAAACGCGATATATTAGTTAAACTTATTTGAAAATGATTTTTAACTTCGGCCCGACGTTTCGGATGCTTTGCAGCAGCCGTG